CACCCAAAACTACAACACAACTAGAATTTGTTTCACCCAACAAAAACAAAGATGTCTAAATAAATGACTTATTTGATTAGTGTCCACCATTGTTCATCCAAGGAGAAGGAAAGTACATGGAAAGGAATGGATGAGGTGACATTTGCATAAGGAGATTGTTGTTGTTATAGGGGTTTTGTTCCATACCGAACGAGTTATTGTCATATGCTTCAGCCTGGTTGAATTTCCCAATATTGTTGTTATTGGGGTTCTTATCCATAGAAAACGAGTTGTTGCCATATGCTTCAACCTGGTTGAATCTCCCAAAATTGTTGAAATAGTTATTGGGGTTTCGCTCCATAACGAACAAGTTGTTGCCATATGCTTCAGCCTGGTTGAATCTCTCAAAATTGTTGTTATTGGGGTTCTGCTCCATAACAAACGAGTTGTTGCCATTTGCTTCAACCCGATTGAATCTTCCAAAATTATTGTTATTGGGGTTCTGCTCCATAACAAACGAGTTGTTGCCATTTGCTTCAACCCGATTGAATCTTCCAAAATTATTGTTATTGGGGTTCTGCTCCATAACAAACGAGTTGTTGCCGTATGCTTCAGCCTGGTTGAATCTCCCAAAATTGTTGTTATTGGGGTTCTGCTCCATAGCAAATGAGTTGTTATCATATACTTCAACCTGGTTGAGTATCTCAAAATTGTTGTCATTTGGGTTCTAGTCCATAACGAACGAGTTGTTGTCATATGCTTCAACCTGGTTGAGTATCTCAAAATTGTGGCCATTGGGGTTCTGGTCCATAACGAACGAGTTGTTGTCATATGCTTCAACTAGGTTGTTGGGATTGTTGTTTAGATATGGTACACCAAAGGTGTAAGGGTAAGATTCAGGCTGTAAAAAAGAGGCAATTTGTTGGTTGTTAATATAAGAAGGTACGTCACTATTGACCTGATGATCCATGGGCACAATTATTGGTGTCACAGGGTTAGATGTGATAGTTCGAATATCATTTATACTAGCGCGACGATGTTTTACTGTAGTTTTACAGTTCATGCGAGAAAAGAACTTTTGCGCATGACTGCTCACTTGTCTCGCTGTTTTTGAAACAACATACTCCTTTGATATATCCTTCCAATTTCTAAGAGTGTACAGTCCGATGAGAAATAACCTATATATACATACCTCATGATTAGAAAAAAAAATACCAGAGAGGTTTTTTAAGAAAAAAATTAGGGGAAAGGGAAATGGGGAGGGGATTACAATGTGAGAATCGAACCCTTACCCTAAGGTTGGAATTCAGATAGTCGACCAACTGACTACTAACATGGAGTTTTGTGATATACAGTTAATTATTTTTTTTCAAAAATAGGAGATACATAACTAATTTAATGGAGTTTCAATTTATACTCTATCAGTATAAAAAAAGAACCTAAATGAATTAAAAATTTACCAAGTAAGAAGCAACAATGAACTTTGAACTCATAAAATTAAATCTAACATGTAAAAATGTGTGATGAGACATAAAAATAAAGAATGCAAATATTTATGTGTAAGTTTCTAAAAAAACAACCAGAATTTACTGGTGTTCCTCTTTCGTCCATAGAATCACCCGTCTCCGACGTGGTGGTGTGTCATTGAGAACCTCCATGTTTTCAACTTGAGGTGGTGGTGTGTCATTGAGAACCTTCATGTTTTGAACTGGAGGTGGTGGTGTATCATTGAGAACCTCAATGTTTTCAACTTGAGGTGGAGGTGTGTTATTGAGAACCTCCATGTTTGAGTTATTCAACTCCATTGATAGAAAAAACAAGAGGCTAGCATATATGGTACAAGAGAGGTGTTATGATTCTTTTTGTATAGTCAATTGTTGTGTTAGAGTCAAAATAGGTGTCCTTTTATAGTTGAGAACTTTTGGTTTAGTAGACTAAAATCGAATTCTCAATGGTGAGAAGATTACATTCAATTGTCAATAGTTTAATGACTTTACCAAATAATGTTGTTGTCCGCGCTGGACAAGAGATTTGCATTCCTTAATCAATCTTTGTATGGATGCTTCTAGAATTATTGAGTAAGTTATATTTTCAGTGAAATCAAATGAAGTGTTTATGATATTGTTTGTTTGATTTCACCGAAAATATACCTTAATAAATTCTAGAAGCATCTATACAAAAATTAATTAAGGAATGTAAATCTTTTGTCCAGCTCGGACAACAACATTATTTGGTAAAGTCATTAAACTATTGACAATTGAATGTAATCTTCTCACCATTGAGAATTCGATTTTACTCTACTAACCCAAAAATTCTCAACTATAAAAGGACATTACTATTTTGACTCTAACACAACAATGGACTTCACAAAAAGAAGCATAACACCTCTCTCGTACAATATATTCTAGCCTCTTGTTCTTTCTATCAATGGAGTTGAATAACTCAAACATGGAGGTTCTCAATAATACACCACCACCTGAAGTTGAAAACATGGAGGTTCTCAATGAAACACCACCACCTCAAGCTCAAAACATGGAGGTTCTCAATGACACACCACCACCTCAAGTTCAAAACATGGAAGTTCACAATGGCACATCACCACATCGGAGACGGGTGATTCTATGGACGGAAGAGGAACACCGGTAAATTCTGTTTGTTATTTTTTTTTAGAAACTTACACATAAATATTTGCATTCTTTATTTTTATGTCTCATCAGGCATTTTTACATGTTAGATTTAATTTTATGAGTTCAAAGTTCATTGTTGCTTCTTACTTGGTAAATTTTTAATTCATTTATGTTTTTTGTTATACTGATAGAGCATAAATTGAAACTCCATTAAATTAATTATATATCTTTTTTTTTGAAAAAAAGTATTAATTAATTATATATCACAAAACTCAATGTTAGTAGTTTATTTGGTTGACTATTTGAATTCCCAACTTGGGTAAGGGTTCAATTCTCACATTGTAATCCCCTCTCCATTTCCCTTTCCCCCAATTTTTTTCTTAAAAAAACTCTATCCAGTATTTTTTTTCTAATCATATGGTATGTATATATAGGTTATTTCTCATCGGACTGTACACTCTTGGAAAAGGAAATTGGAAGGATATCTCGAAGGAGTATGTCGTTTCAAAAACAGCGAGACAAGTGGGCAGTCATGCGCAAAAGTTCTTTTCTCGCATGAACTGTAAAACTCCAGTAGAACGTCGTCGCGCTAGCATAAATGATATTCGAACTATCACATCTAACCCTATGACACCAATAATTGTGCCCATGGATCATCAAGTCAATAGTGACATACCTACTCATATTAACAACCATCAAATTGCCTCTTTCTTACAGCCTGAATCTTACCCTTACACCTTTGGTGTACCATATCTAAATAACAATCCCAACAACCAGGTTGAAGCATATGACAACAACTCGTTAGTTATGGACCAAATCCCCAATGGCCACAATTTTGAGATACTTAACCATGTTGAAGCATATGACAACAACTCGTTTGTTATGGACTAGAACCCAAAGGGCAACAATTTTGAGATACTCAACCAGGTTGAAGCATCTGAGAACAACTTGTTTGCGATGGAGCTGAACCCCAATAACAACAATTATGGGAGATTCAATCAGGCTGAAGCATATGGCAACAACTCGTTTGTTATGGAGCAGAACCCCAATAACAATAATTTTGGGAGGTTCAACCAAGCTGAAGCATATGGCAACAACTCGTTTGTTATGGAGCAGAACCCCAATAACAACAATTTGGGGAGATTCAACCAAGTTGAAGCATATGGCAACAACTTGTTCGTTATGGAGCAGAACCCCAATAACAACAATTTTGGGAGATTCAATCAAGCTGAAGCATATGGCAACAACTCATTTGCTATGGAACAGAACCTTAATAACAACAATTTTGGGAGATTAAACCACTCTAAAGCATATGACAACAACTCGTTCGGTATGGAACAGAACCCCTATAACAACAACAATCTCCTTATGCCAATGTCACCTCATCCATTCATTTCAATGCACTTGCCTTCTCCTTGGATGAACAATGGTGGACACTAATCAAATAAGTCATTTATTTAGAAATATTTGTTTTTGTTGGGTGAAACAAATTCTAGTTGTGTTGTAGTTTTGGGTGGATTTTGGTGTGTGTTGTGGTTCGGGGGGGGGGGGGAGTATTTAATGTTCAAGACATAATATATGAGTTTGTTTGATATTATGAATAAAGTATGAATTTTTCAAACAAGGAAAAAATGATGTTTTCTCTCTTGATTGTTATCTATACCCATTGTATTATCTAATCGCTTAGAAATTGTCTACATTTATCAATTTTGACTAGAATATTTGAGCAAGTTTTAGTCAATAGCATTTTAAAACTTTAATTGGAAATAATTTGTAAACTCAATAATTTTCTACCACATCCATGATTTCAAACTTTCTACCTATGCAGACAACATCAATATTTGAAAGAATCTATAAAAAAGAAAAAGAAAAAAAAAACAATGAGTGAAAATATATTTCTTTTTCTATTATGGATAAAGAAAATAAATATTGAGTTGGACATATTCTATTAAGTTCAAGTTTTAGTATGTTATCGAATATAACTGAATTAGATATTGGTAAAAATTGATAGATGTAGACAATCTCTGATTGATTCAATAAATACTTCATACAAACACAACTACTAAATGCATTTAACACATATGAACACAAAACCAACTTAAATAAGCACTTAAAAATAGGAGAACATAGTTAACATTTTAGCAACAGATCAAAATTTGTGCATTCATCACAAGTAAAATTAAGAAGAGCAGCTCAAACTCGTAACAATAGAAACACTCTAAAAGAACATGCAGCATAAACCACAAAACTCACAGATGTAACTATTGTCGATCATGATTTCTTTATTTCAACAACCAATAGCACTTGGTTGAGCATCTCTCAAACCGAATACGGTGTCAATAACAGCCAACTCTGTTGCTGTAGTGTCTGAGCCACAAAACGCTGTCCAGTCATTAACGGTCAATCCAGCAGCAATCACATTACTACCCCTATTCACAGTTCCAGCAGCAATAGGTAAATGAAGAAGAGTGTCCAGTTCATTCAAATCTTCAATGGACGTACAAGGATGGACCTGTTGTTCCATAACAAAGTTTCACAAAAATTAGGAAAAAGAGTAACATAGTTATGTGTCTTGTTGCTCCAGCACCTGTCTACAAGGGGGAGTAAGAAAATTGAACTTACCAAGACCCCTTTGTTGGATAAAGAACAATAGCTGCCAACAAGAACGTTCCCAGCTATCGTATGCCTTAAAACTTCAACACCAAGAACATCAGCAATCATCTCTTCAGTGTCCTGGAGAAAAATAATAAAGCACAACACATTGACGTAGGTAAAATTCAGGATCTAACCTACTCCTTAATCTATTTTATTGGTAAGGAGGAAAAGGCTATTGTTGAATCTTGACAAATTCAGGCTACAGTAAATATATTCATGTCATGACAAACTCCAAAGCTTGTCATCAGTATATGTTGTGATAGGATATGTTTAAATAGCATGAAAAATGGTACAAGTAGTGGAGAGCACCATGGGCTAACCCAAGGAGATGAAAACGCTTCCCCTAAGAGAAGTCCATCAAGATATCCCCTCCTTAAAGCTAAACATAGTGTAAGATAACGTAATATCATATGGAGGACACTTTAGATACAGGAACATTTTACATAAAGGATTAAGAAAATTTATTTTTTGATAACCCAGAAATACCCAAGGACTAGGACCACAATTTTCAAAGATGTTTTCTCTAGTTATGCACATCCCACCAAACATCACAATCAGCAAATCTGACTGCTCTAATTCGACATTTTGTGTTTTCTATATGAAACAGAGAAAAGGCCAATACATAGATAATTATTGACAATCAAAACATCACAACAGCTACTTAACACACGACTCAAATTTTGACCTATAGGTTTGCTCAATATCCGGAATATGTAGGGAGGGAAATGAAATTTCATATACCACATAATGTGATCCCATTCTATAGGAAAAGACACGAACAGATTACCTTGTCAAGAGAAGGATGTATAAGAGCAATATGATCATTGCATGCTATGCAGTTTCCCAAGGCAGAATGTGTCTCGTCGATGCATTGTACCTCAACAGAATCGGGCAGACTATTTCTCAAGTGCTGAAGTTCTTCAACCACCGAAAGAGACACAAAGGCAGATGTGAAATCAAGGAAATAACAAAGGATAAAAGTGAACGTAAGGTATTTTGACCAAGTCACATAAATAAACATGAAATGGTAGAGTGAAACATTAGCCCAAACGAAAATCAAATTTTCAATATTTTGTTAGTTTATATAGACATATCAGTGGCCTCCAGTCCCAAAACTGATGCAAGGAATCAAGGACAACAATGTTGCAGACCGACTACTAATGAAATTGTTTTCTTCTAACCACAAATTTTGTCATAGCAAGTCCAATGCATATCCATGCCCGACATATAGATAAGTAAGGCTCTATTGAATACAAGCAACTAGAATGACATATGTTTGCATGATCAACAATTATTGCACTGTACAAATTACAGTCACAAAGGAAAAAGAATATTCAAAGAAAACTAAAAACTAAAACTGAAATGCCTAAGATAGAACGAATGATGTTATTACCTTGAGGTGTAGTGGTATAAGGCAAGAGAAGCCCATTTTTATTTCCTGCAGAAAATTGGAAAGTTGGAAAGTTAGTTCTCACAGGAAAATCAGAGGGAAAAAGGGCCTTGAGTTCCAGAATATAGTTTAAAAAATTGTTGAATACCAGCACAAAGTCTTCCAACCGACCAGCTTCCGTTAATAGTTGTTTGAATCACTTGAAAGCCTCGAATATGTGCTAACTCATCCTCAAATGTACTGGAAAGAAATCACAGAAATTACAACTTTTTCTATAAACAGGGAAAGTTAACAAGAAAGATTCATTATTCATCTTTAAGTATTTATATTCACTTCATGTTTCCTTTCTTATTGTTCCACATTAAACATTCAACCTTCATTTGCACCCGAGAGTGTGGTCTAGTGGGTAGATTGTGAACCATAAGGTCTCACGTTCAAATTCTAGCAGAGACAAAAACTCAAGGTCATTTCTTCCCGTCTGTCCTAGTCTTGGTGGACAAAGTTTAGTCGAGTTGGACAAAAGCTAGCCCAGACTCCACGGTTATCAAAAAAAAGTTCAGCATTCATTTTTTTTCTCTAATCTTTTAGTTTATAACTGCAGCTTCCAAAAATATTAGTTTGAAAAACAAGAAAGATGAACCTGTAGAAGTTTTGAGAACCCCCAATTCCAACTAAGCAGTATGCATTGGTGAGCTTGGAATAAACTCCAATATCACAAGAATTCTCAAACTGCAGCCCTACATTTTAAAAAGGAAAACTTCACACAGAAAATAATACAATGAATATCAGAATGAGAATATTACGTAACTCACTTATGGCCATTACTAGCTGAAAAGGGCAGAGCTGATACAATCTTGGGAGATTCTGGCAAAATTTTAACAATTAGTCTTCTTGGTTAAAAGAAATCATCAAGAATAATTACACATACTAATAACTTTCAAATAGGACACAAGTGTAAAATATTTCATTCTATTGGACTTACTATTGGCCATCTCCTTAGATCACATGACAAGCAAATAAGAAACGGAACTCAACTTGTAGAATCACAAGGAACTAGGAAAAATTGGAGTTAGTGCCTTCAACAACAACAACATATCCTGTGTAATCTCACAAGTGTAGTCCAGGGCCGGGGCAAATTTATAGTAAAAGATTGTGGGTATTGAACCTATTCTCTCCATAAAACTAGATATTTTACGTATATATTTTTCCAAATTGGTATATACTATTATCTGCTGGCACCATTGAATAGAGATCAATTCCATCTAAATACATCTTTTCCATTCTATTTTGGTAGGTCATCCATGTTATAGAAATTCTAAATTCGTCGCTAGTATGAAAAGGGTTGTATGTAGACGCTCGACTCAAGAATGGAAAAAACAATTATGTAAAACAAATACGGAAGCGAAGAAGTTATGCTAAAGCTAGTTAATGCCTTGTTGATCAAGTAAAAAATAACAGACTACTGGAATTCAACTTACAATTTTCTAAAACAACAATAGGAGTCGCCGGGAAAAACTTACAGAGAGAGAGAGAGAGCGTGGAGCCGTTTACTTGTTCTGCAATATTTTTGGTAACTGAATATATATAGGTTTAAGTGGGCTGTGGGCCCAAATCCATTTTGTTTTTGGGCTTTTACATTATTGCGGCTTACAAAAGTTCCTAAAAAATTCACATATATACTCATTTTTAAAAGGCTCAAGTCGTTTGCCCCTTAAAGTTGTCCGTATATTTCACTTAAACACTTCAATTATAATTATTACCTATTGAACATCTGAATTGTTCAAAAAGTATACCTATTAAACACAAAATATTGATATGGCAAAAGAAGTGTTTTACACTTTCGCTGAGTGCGTGAAAAAACTTAAATAATGTTTTATTTTTATTTTTTTCAAAAAAACTTAATACCTTTTCTTCTTTGAGTGCCACTTGGCATTTAAATAATTTAACTTTAACAAATATATATTTAAAAGTAATACTAATTCTTTAAGAAGAAAAAAGAGCCCTCACCCCACCCCTGTAAGTCGTCTTCTCCATGAAGACCACTGCACTCCATTTTTTTTCTCTTCTTTTTCTATTCTATTTTTTTTCAACATTTATTAAAATATAAAAATTGAATCAGCTAATTAAATTTGGAGGGAAAAAAAAGAAAGAACATCGGACTGAAAAAAGTTAGCCGATCGACGTCTATTTCGATCACCTTCGAATAAATATTACCATTCAAATTAAAATGTAAACCCACTAAAATTATCAAACATAATATCAGATTGATTCAATAAAATTAATTTAGGTCCTCTCGATTTCTCTTTGTTATCGATCTCAAGACGATTGACAATGTCTTTCTTCATCATTCTTGTATCAGTCTCTTTGAATATATCGATCTCACGTATTAGGAATAAAAAATAATTATGTAAGCAATTAACAAAGAATTGAATTTGTCCTTTGAGAAATAAAATCTTGCTAGGAAGAAGATGAAGAAGAAAGGGGGATGGGGTAGGGTTGGGCTACTCATTTATTTTTATTTTTATAAAAAAAAATAGATGAAGAATTTATTTGAAATAATTTTGGAAAATATTGGGCCCAACGCCACATGTTATCTTTTAATTAGTCATTTTGCCACATCACAGCAAGTGTATTACACACATTTTATTTTTTTTACTTATTGTCGAAAAATGTCTAATAGGAACAAGTTTTGAATAAATAAAAGTGTTCAATAGGTACTAGCCCTGGTTGAGGTGTCTAAGTGAATTATGCGGACAACTTTAAAGGGCCGCAGATGACTTAAGCCTTTTTTTAAAAAAAATTATACTCTCTCCGCTATATTTTATATTAGTTAGTTTGACTTGACACTGAATTTAAGAAAGAATGAAAGACTTTTGAATCTTGTGGTCTAAAAAATAAGTGATAGAATTTGCGTGACTATTAATCATTTTATTAAAAGTAAAATGAGTATTTTAAAATTAAATTGTTAGTTATTATACAAATGTGTCATTTTTTTAGGCCGACTAAAAAGAAAAGTAAGTCATATAAATTAGGAAAGAGTGAATATAGAACAAATTTCCAATTGACAATTTAAGATATATATATATATATATATATATATATATATATATAAAAATATAAAAATTCAAAATACACAATTTACATAATTGTATACTTATAGTTATATCAAAAATATCACTTTATCAATCAATCAATTAAACTACTAAAATTTCACAATATTAAATAAATATCTAATAATAGAAGAAATAATAATGGTCAACTTAGGACTAGAGATCACAATTGACAAAGTTAGTACATAGAGCAATCAATTCACTTCCTAGAAATTAGAAGATCGCAAATCCGATTTCCGAAATATACAGCTAAACAAATTTTGGTTTCTTGAGCTCCAAGTCGCTTATTTTTGCATATTTTTTTATGGATAGACAGAAACCTATATTTATATTAAATGACGAGATTAATGTGACAGATGAATGGATTGAATTGAAATTAAACATGTGAAAATGAGTGAAATTAATAAATAAGCTGGTCAATTACTTGTTTAAAAGTTATTTGAGTTGAAACATGCTAAGCTGAAATGAGCTAAAACATCGTGTCATAACTCAATCTTTTCAATTCTAACTAAATTTTAAATATTCGTTTGTTTCCTTATTATTTGTTTGCGTACCTAATAAAACTTGTTTTCTCATCTTAAGAATATAGATATAACATATCAAATAAAAATATCTTTATAAAAAAATATTAAACAAAGTTTCTCATGGTACAATCTAGATTGCATATCATTCCTATTTTAAAATTGATTGACTTAAACAAATCAAAATGAACCGAATTAATGAAATAAGGGGGTCATTAACTTTTTTTGAATTTAAATAAAGTGAACCAATAATAAATTTATGAACTAATTTTACCACCTCTAAACGAGTCGTATGAAATTACAATACACCATATTTGCGCTGTTCACTTGTCAATTGCCATATAGAAAGAAAAAGAAGTAGTTTTGTTTTTTCTTGTTTCCCACCCGGTGTCCAGAGCCACATTGGAGCTCCGACTAAATTCGGATCGCGCTCTGCAGGGGCCATTCAGAGGTGGCTCTCCCAATAGGATTTTCTCCATATTCAGGGCCTGAACTCGAGACCTCTGGTTAAGGGTGAAGTAATTAGTGTTACAAGCACACAACTTTAGGGAGTTTTTGGTTTTTGCTTACACGTAATTGTACTAGTATTAAACATTTTTATTGTGTTTTCAACTAAAATTGAAGGGTCTAATGGAATGGGCTGAAATTACACGACACTCCTACTATTAATTATTCCTTCTCTTTCTTTTTTTTGGCTTATACCAAAGTTTCATGTATCAGTTGTCATAATTATGGATTTAATGAACCATCAGATTACCGTTACACGTTTAAGCTGTGACCAAAATTACAAGAAATGGATGATTATGTGTTAATTGTTGGATTGGGTGCAGTGTACGTGAACAAAATTTTATCTTGATAGTTGAAAAGATAAGCATCTTAATATTATGTGCAAATTTAATCTAAAAAGTAATACTATCATATTATGTTAAGAGTATTTTGAGTTTTTTTAACTGAAGAATTGATTAGTTTGAGATTACTAGAAAAAGCGTCTCTCTCATTCTAGATGATAAGGGAGGTGTCATTGTTTTGGTGACTCTCACGGACCTACTAATCTAGGAAGGACATCAGTAATTACTTTAATCGTTTTAAAAGCATAATTAGTGCCAATATTATGATATTCCCTTTGTCCCTAATTAATTACTTGTCTACTTTTCTTTTTATAGTTGTCCCTAATTACTTGTCCATTTTGACTAATCAAGAAAGGACAAATTCTTTTTACTTATTATACCTTCAATAAAATGACTAATTATTTTGAAAAATGTAGAAATTTTCATCCACTTCATAATTAATAGGAATAAAATAGTAAACTCACTATGTCATTAATTATTTTCTTAATAGGTGTGTCAATTCAAAAGTGGACAAGTAATTAGGGATAGAGGGAGTACTTTACAGAACAAGTACTCAGCAACCATCATTATATTGACTTCCAACGTTAACAAAAGTAATGTATTTATATAAATTAAATATTTGTACAAACATATAATATTTACAAAAAAAATCATAAATATATAATTATAAACCCGAGTATATATTAATTTGAAATAGTAGATTGAGTTAACTAAAATACTCCTCCCGATTCAATTTAAATAAAGTCGCTGGCGTTGCTGCGGCGTAACGTGCTTAGATAATTTGATTGAAAAAAGGAGCCTTTCCGCTTAATTGAAGTAAAGTAGGGGTATGTAAAAATTGAATCGATCGATAAATCGAATCGAAAAAAAATGTTATTGGTTTATTGTTATTGGGTTAATGGTTATTTAATGGTTTTATAAAAAAAAGAAATTATTGGGTTATCGATTTGATATTGATTTTTTAATATTGGGTTAACCGATAACCTATTAAGAATATAATAATTTTCTATTTTAATTTTTAGTCATACATAAATATCAAGCAAACAATATTAGTATAATCACTATAATAGACTATAACTATAAGGACCCTACACAATTAACATTACTTAATTAACTTGCTCTCTGCATTTACCCTTTAGGTTTTAGTAGTACTTTAGTCTTTAGGTTCACAATGTCAAAAATCTAAAGAACTAAGAACGACGACGTCTAAGGTTTGCAACGACGACGGCAAGGGTTAGGCAATGATCAGGGTTGTGAATTGTGAGTATTTGCTATACTTTTACTACACTAAGAAGAATTTTTGCACTCAATGAGTAATTAGATTTCTCTCTTTTTTATTTCGCGTTAAATTGTTGAATAAGTCATATATTTATTTTGAAAGTATTTTCTTATTGATTAAACCGAAAACCGAACCATTAAAGATCAAAACCGATAAACGGAAAATCAATAACAAATATCTTATTGATTTGGTTATCGATTTAGCATATTTAAAAACCAATAAATCGAACCAATAATACTTAAAACCGAACCGAACCGAACCAACCGATACACACCCTCAAGTAGGTCAACCACTTTTTAATTAAATCATTTGTCTCGAGAAATAATAATTACTTCTATAAAAAATATTATATAATAGAAAATGATTCAATGACTAATGAGAAGAATAATATAACCATTAACCAGTAAAGAAATGGCTGCTACACTTGGGCATATTTATATTTTTTTAATATAGAAATCTCACCAAAAAATTAGGTCAAATGTATTTGGTACAGAATATAATGGCCGCCCCTAAAATTTTATCGACAACATTGCGTTTCTTAGCCATCCTTCTTTTTTTTCTTCTGTCCAATCGTTTGGAGTTCACATTAAAGCTCCGATTAAATCTAAATCACACACCAGACTTATTCGAAGATGTGACGCTTTCAACATAATTTTCTCCATATTCATAACAAGAACCCGAAACTTTTGATCAAGAAATTCACCTTAACAACATATTTCCTCTTAAAAAAATAACAGGATTCCAAACAAATTCGCCGTCGGTTGGATAATGACAAATTAAT